TAAAAGGCTTGGTGAACTCAATCTAGAAATATGTAGTTTTTTTTTTAATATTTGTTGTTAGAAAATTAAGAAATAGGAATTAGAATGTCACCTAGTGATGTAGTAGAACCAGGGGTGGAAAGTAATGAATTACATTTACTCAAGTTACTGTAATTGAGTACTTTTTATGAGTAATTTGTAATTTTCTGAGTAGTTTTTGAAATATGTACTTTTTACTTTTACTCAAGTAAATTTTAACCTAAGTAGTTTTACTTTGCTACATTTAAAACCCCCTCACTTAATGAGTAAAAAAAAAAAAAAAAATACTGATGGTGAAAAAATTAAATGCGGCAGGAAATTTACGGAACTGAAACTTAATGCGTGGCCCTGCCTTGCATTTACCCTTTGTATTGCCTCATAATCCAGATCTGCGCTTCGGAAGATGGCAGTTGCTAATCAAAACTTAGGGAGTATGGATGAGTAAAGGCCTGAAGAGGAAACACATTCTGGAGACGAAAGCCAGAAAAACCCTTGGCCATATTTGGATGGATTATTTGTTTTCAAATGCACAAAAAGAAACAATGCGATAATACAGTGCAACATGTGCCTGCCCAGCAAAACGGAGCTTTCGGCTTTTAAAACATCAACATCCAATTTACGAAAACACGTGGCGGTAAGTTAGCGCATGTGTTTTTGTCTCTGACATCCCCAAACGGTTTATTTATTATTTATGTATAAGCGAGCTCTTGGCTTGTTAGCAGTTGCTTAGAATTAGCTAGTTCGGAGTATCAAAAGTTTGATTGAGCTGGGAACTCCTTCCCAAATATTAAGAAGCTGTCTCTGAAACTCGACCAGGCCTTCCAGCTTCAGCTTCCTGTGAGAGGCTTTTTAGTTCACCCGGGTTGCTCTTTGCAGCAAAGAGAGCAAGACTTACAGCAAAAAACTTTGAAAATCATTTCCCACTGAAATTGAACAAAAGCTTTGCCGGTATACAGTTGTAGATTTGGGGCAGTTTTGTGGGACACTGTATTTTGAAGTTATATCCTGTGAGCACTTTCTTTTAAGTTGTTGAATCCTTTTTTAATTTTGTTTTATTGTGAACAGTGGGATCATGTGGCATTTTATTCAATAACAGTGGGATCCTGTTGCATTTTAGTTTGATTTCCCGTATCTATTGGGCAATTAATTTTGTGTGCATTTGGAATACTTTAAAATGTAGTTTAAATTTCTTTATTCCTATCATGGTGTCTGTTGGACATTAGGATTGAAAATTGCTTGAATTTTATGGTACAGGTTCTGACTGTCCTTGTGCTGTGAGGAAGTATGTTCTTTAGCCCAGCTGATCTTTTGCAAGTGTGGATGTCCACTGAAATACGCCTTGAAATCGATTAAAACACCTTGTGCTCAATTCGATTCATGACTCATCCTTTTTTGCATTAAATAACTCAAAGTAACTAAGTAACTTTTACTTAAATTACATTTTAAATGAAGTAATTTTGTAGTTTTACTTCAATAAATTTTGAGATGGGTAATTTTACTTTTACTCTGAGTAGAATTTAGGCAGAGTAAAGATACTTTTACTCAATTACAATTTTTTGTACTCTTTCCACCTCTGAGTAGAACAACTATGATGCTAGATAAGGAGACAATTAACAGTTTTCATTTAAATTGTTAATTAGCAGCTGACTTCAGCTGCAGTTTGTTATCACTTTTATATCCAAAGTACCTCTGATGAAAATCTGATCCTAAAGCATGCAGACCACTCTCAATCATAACTTTTTGCAGCTCAAATGTTCTTTGTTACATGCAGAGCTTATGCTGCTTTGTCGGCATCTTTTAACAATTTCTCAAAAGCAGAAGCCTAATCTATCTTCAGCCTTTGTCACTAATGGAGCGTTGTGCCATGAACGCCTTTGTAATGGGTCTGGAGGTGGTGCCTTCATTAGGTTGACTAATGCCAGCAGACAAGAAAGAGAAATCGCCCATCTCAGTTGCATGTGTGCATACTAATGCCAGAGAATTGCTCATTGACAAGGATTTAATGATCATATACAGAGTTAATGAGCTTTAACATACTTGACTAAGAATCATATAACCTTCCACACCCAAAAGTCTGGGATTTCCACTCACCTCTCAAGTAGTGACAATGTTTTACCATGAAGAGGCAGCGTTTGTTACAAATGGTGTAATTTTGTCACTGTTGTTACTTTAAGTCGTCACTAGATGGAGGCATTGTTCCTGTCACTGTCATTACTTAAAGTCGCCACTAGATGGTGGCATTTTACAGTAAATGAGACGCCACTGCAGTTCTTATGATTCAGCTGTTACTAGATTGGTTGAAATGAATGTCTAGATGTAAACTTTCCTTGACATTATGCTTGTGAACTCCAAGAGCAATAAGCAGGAACGTCCTGCTCTGAATTCCTGCTTGCACTGCAAAAACTATCTAGAAATAAGTCAACATTTCTTAAATTAAGTGTATTTATCCTTATTCTAAGTAGGTAAATAAGATAGTTTGCCAATGGAATGAGTATTTTTACTCTTAAAATAAGATAATTAGAGAATATGCACTTGAAATAAGACAAAGCAATTGTGTTTTTTTTTTATTTTAAATGTAAATTGTCTTGTTCCATTGGCAAATGTCTCTTTTATCCCTCAATTCAAGAACAAATGCACTTAGTTTAAGAGAAAAATACTTATCTAGATTTCGATTTTGTCCACTGTGATGCTTAATGACAGCAGGATCACTGCAAAAATGATCTCAAAATGAGTAAAAATGTCTTAAATTAAGTGTATTTACCCTTAATTTGAGCAGTTAAATAAGATGATTTTCCAATGGAATTCGTATTTTTACTCTTAAAATAAGGCATCTAGATAAAATGCACTTGAAATAAGACAAAGCGATTGTTTTTTTCTTATTTTAAGTGTAAATTGTCTTGTTCCATTGGCAAAGTGTCTCACTTAAATCCTTAATTCAGGAAAAAATGCACTTATTTTAAGAAGAAATTGACTTATTTAGATTTAATTTTTTTGCAGTGAACACATTGTAAATAAACTTAAATTAAAATAAAAGATTTATTAAATAAAAGAAACTGATTCTTTTTCCTTTTTTGCCTCTCAATTCTTCCTTGATTTTCAAAAAAACAAAACAAAAACACTTGTCTTTCTTTTTTTTTTTTTCACACCTCTGACATAAATCTGGTAAAGTAATATAAGACAAGTACAGGACACGTATAGGACAAACCCTTAATATCCTTATATGGTTCACCTTCCCTCACAGTGGGCTGTTCCTTCCAAGCTGAAGCCATCAGTGTTCCTCATCTCTGTTTACCTTAGAACTACCATTTTAAAATTATCCTTAAAGATCATTTTAAAATGGCGAAGTTCTAATTTAAAAATTAAAGAAAACGAACTGTTGAAATCTGCCTGCATGGAATTAAAATGTGTATAAATGTGTATATGTGTGTGAGGAAAGTTAAAAATAAAACAAGCCCATTTAGGTTTTAATAAACATTCTTTAATGGCTAAAATTGAAGCAGCTTGAGAAGCGTTCTAAAGTTTAGATGTAAACAAAGCATTAACAACTGAAGGCTTTGGCTTCTCAACGGTTATAAGGGCAGTTTTCATCAGAGGAATTCTCTTCTAACTGAACCCAGGGCTACAGTCAAGTAGCAATAAGCTTCGGAGTTAATGCTTGAACCTAAAAGGAGAGACGTGAAGGACTGGTGGTTAAACAAGTCCTCTTGTATCTGATGTCCTGGGAGACATCCACACTGAAACATGAGCTGCATGTTCTGAGTAACTGGCATTTCGCTGTGCCTTGGCCCCAGTGCAGGTGACGCCCGTCACGTTCAGTATTTGTAACCACAAGCATAAGCAGACGAGTGTTGCAGTGGACTAAGCCTGAGTGCACGCAGGAAAGAGATCTTAAAGCGTATAAACAACGACTTGCTGTCGTCCGCAAAGAGGCTAAAGATGAGACACCACTGAACTGGAAGTCTGTCCCTTCTAACAGTAGAACACAGTACCAGATAATATATATTAGAGGTGCATGATTGAGGGGAGATTTTAAGCTACAGTCATACGTAGATGTATGCACAACACACAAAAAAATTTTTATAGTGTAGAAAGCAAAACCTTTACATCCTGACAGAAGAAACTGCTGCAACAGACTAACAGTTATATCATCACTGCAGCTCTATTTCCTCACTTAAAGGGATTATAATTCAAATATTCCTTCAACATTTTCTTTGGTTTGTTTTGTTTTCTGCAGGAGACAAAGCCCTCATTTGTTATTTTCTATAAAATATTTCTTTTGAGGCTTTTTGGCTTCCTCATACTTCAAAAAAAGTTGTCTAAAAACATCCAACTGTAAGCAAACAAGGTTTAAAATGAATATAATTCTCTGTAATGTGTTACTTGCAAAGTAATATGTCAGTGTTGGCCTCCGGGTGACTTTTACCCTCAATCTTAAACATCTACCCTTTACAGTAACTGATGAGTACAAAGGGATGCTGGCAAAAAAAATGAAAATAAATAAAATTCAGGCACCGCAAAGTGTTCCTCTGTTTCATTTTTCTAGAATCATTTCAAACTGAATACAAACAAAATAACTGCGTTTTGTATAATTGCTATCAGTAAAAGGAATGATAATTATATAGCACCATATTTTCGTTTAAAACAATAAAATAAAAAAAACACTAAATGACTTGCAAACTGGGAAACAGAAAAAGCTATGCTACACTCTAAGATGTTAACTCTATTATTAGTCTCTCATATTTCTAAACATGCATATAGTTACTATGACAAGTTTTTTTGCTTACTCTAAAACTTTGGCAGTTATGCAAACCAAATGGCAAAATAAAACAGCTTTTTTTATAATATCATACTTATAAACAAAGACAGGCATTTTTCAGCTAAAACAAAGCCCATAGTATCAACAGAGCAACACAAAAACTATGTACATACATGTAAAAAGTGTTATAAATAGGTTTTAACCATAGATACTATATACATCTTTAAACAGACAGTATTGGTATTCTGAATTGGGTTTTCTTTGGTGTTACTTCTTTGATATTGGCTTCACAACTTAAACTTCAGAAGGGATCTTCATAGGGTTACTGGGAGCACTGGGATGGAGGGGCGGTTCATTCTCGCTTCCTTAAGATGACGTAGATGAGTCCGCTGATGAGGGCCAGAGGGAAGGCCACCCACGCCAGGATGTAGGAGTAGCCGAACGTGTTATCCTTCGGCACCCAACCCGGACTCATTACCGTGTAGATGATGGCGCCGCTCATCACGAACAGACCTGAAGAAGAAGCGTAGAATAACAGCGCTGGTGAGCAGGAAAATGTTTCTGAAGCTGGATCGGGCTGCCCTTTATATTACATCATGGCCTCTCATGCGTATCGAACCCCCGTCTGGCCTTTGCCAGCCTTCCCAGCTTTCCGCCCACTACCCCTTGTCCAACATGGCATGACTTGTTTGTCAGACCCCCACACTGCCGGACCTAGCTGACATTTTAACTCGCCCAGCTGGCTCTTTTCCCAGCATCATTCCTGTTTGGCTGAGTGGGCAGCGGGTTGCCTGGCTCTGCATGGGTATGTCGGGAAAAAAAACTGGCATTTTACAAACAGAGCTGCATAGAGCCAACACAGTAGAGACACTTATTCTCCAAAGGGTTTGAAGCACAATAGACGAGTGGAGCATGAAAACCATTAGAGACTAACTCTGTCTTAATTCAATTCTCTATAAATAGAGAACAGTAAAGTGAGCATTCACTCTCTGTGTGTCTGTAGGTTGAATTTTGTACAGTTGCTCAGATCAGATGAGTTGAATATTTGCAATTTTGTTATTAGGGAAAAATTATACTAAAAAAAAAAAACATTCTTTCACTGAATTGGAGAAACATAAAGACCCTTTAAACTTTATTCGTGTATCACATTAGAACCATAGACATAAAATTGGATTACATATTTAGGGAATTATCCTAATAGAAAACTACTTCAGTACATTGAAGTTTGCTGAGACATGGTTCCTACAGCATAAGGCAAGTTAAGTTAAATTTAAGACTTTTTAAGACTTTTTAAG